CCGATACCAATTGACGCAACATGTAACATGGATAAAAACTAAGGTTTCTCAATCCCTAAAGTTTTACATCCTTGAACACCAGAGAAAGAAACTAAGGTTCTCAAACTCTAAGATTACATTCCTTGAATGGTTAGAAAAATATGATATATTTAGAAAAATATTTAATTTAATAATCTTGAATCTCTAAAATAGCCTACAAAGTTGTTTAAATATAAAAAAAAACATTATAGTCAGTAAAATCTCAATTAATTTAAAAATCCTAATCTAAATAGAAAAAAAAACTAAATATAACAAGAAAAATTAAGAAAATCCCATAAATTTTAGGTTCTATTTAAAAGCCTCGCTCACCTCTAGCGACTGCAAAATCTTAACCTTACATTATACAAGACCTTTAGAATATTTTTTCAAAATATTAACTTAATCTAATTGTATGATTAGAAGTTATGTTTTAGTTTTTTCCCTTTAAAATTAAAATTTATAAAAACTAAATTTGATTAGTGTCTAAATTCAAGAAAAAAAGAAGAATAATGTCCTGATATGATGCTCCAATTAATTGGAGTTGTGAGGTTTATGCATAGACTAATGGCCTGATTTGTATGTTTTATGGCTAGGTCAAATATCCTGAAAAAAAAAGTTGATGTGGTTATAAATTAACTTATAACTTAATTAAAATATAGTTTAATTTTATTTTTTAATTATATTATTTAAACCTAAAAATTTTTAACAATATTATTTTAGTTAATTTAAAATAAGTTAGATTAACTTATTCAAAACATAATTTAATAATATCCAACATAAGCTTCCAAAATTATAAGAATATATTTGATATTGTGGTGTAAAATATTTTTTAAAAATATTTTTTATTTGAAAGTATATTAATTTTTTTAATATAAAACTATAAAAAATAAATTTAAACTGAAAAAAAGAAGAAGCTTAAAAGGCTGATTGCACGGTTCTCTAAGCAGATTGTATCTTGTTTTTTAAGCAGTAAAAACTGTAAAATTAAACCTCAAATATAACGCGCCGTGTGTGGGGGGATGCGACCACCTTTTAGTTTCAGCCGGCACCACCAATCAGTGATGAAGGGTGGCCTGACATTCTCAAGATGTTCCAATCCAGTTTTAGCACGTATCATTTTTCATTAAAAATAAAAATAAAATAAAATTACGAGCGATGTTAATTTGGAGTTTTCTCTATTTATTTTACAGCTATAAACTCAAAATATTCATTAATTTCAGCCACAATTACTCATTTTCATTTTAACACAAGCCATTATCGCCGGTAACTTACTATAATTTCATCAAATCTCATATGATTGTTAATCAGAAAAGACATGTACGGTTCATCTGTAACACTCAAGTTCCTCATACGCAAGTAGTTTTTACTCTGAAAAATGCCCTTTTTATAAAGATGAATTGTGCCTTTCTTTATTCGGGGTTTTCGATTTGTTCAGACAAGGGAGAAGGAACTTGTGCATGAACAAGGATCTCTGACGTGAAGGGAGGTCCCGCACAAAGAACCCCTCTCGTGGGGTTGCCGAGTTGGGTATGGGCCTAAAACCGACCCCATAGAAGTTGCTTGAGTCTTGCTTTATCCATCTATTTGTACACTCGAAACAAAAACAAAATTCCACCGGAATTTTGCTTGCCGATGGCCGTTGGGAGAGGAAGAAACAGAATGCTAAAGGCCCATATGTAAATATAAATCGGAACTCGTACCCATAGCCGTTCAAGGAAGGCTTGGGCTGATTTCTACTTTGGTCCTTAAGTTGAGATATAGGTCCATAGAAGAAAACTTAACTCGAGGCTTGTCATCATGCCCATTATTGTGGGGCGGATTTTTTTTTTAATGATTTTAATGTATTGCATGTTAAAAAAAATAAAAAAATAATTTTAATATATTGAAATTATAAGAATATATTTTTTAAAAATATTTTTTATTTGAAAATATATTAAATTTTTAATATAAAACTATAAAAAAATAATTTTAAACTGAAAAAAAGAAGAAGCTTAAAAGACTGATTGCACGGTTCTCTAAGCAGCTTGTTTCTTGTTTTTCCAGCAGTAAAAACTGTAAAATTAAACCTCAAATATAACGCGCCGTGTGTATGGGGATGCGACCACCTTTTAGTTTCAGCCGGCACCACCAATCAGTGATGAAGGGTGGCCTGACATTCTCAAGATGTTCCAATCCAGTTTTAGCACGTATCATTTTTCATTAAAAATAAAAATAAAATAAAATTACGAGCGATGTTAATTTGGAGTTTTCTCTATTTATTTTACAGCTATAAACTCAAAATATTCATTAATTTCAGCCACAATTACTCATTTTCATTTTAACACAAGCCATTATCGCCGGTAACTTACTATAATTTCATCAAATCTCATATGATTGTTAATCAGAAAAGACATGTACGGTTCATCTGTAACACTCAAGTTCCTCATACGCAAGTAGTTTTTACTCTGAAAAATGCCCTTTTTATAAAGATGAATTGTGCCTTTCTTTATTCGGGGTTTTCGATTTGTTCAGACAAGGGAGAAGGAACTTGTGCATGAACAAGGATCTCTGACGTGAAGGGAGGTCCCGCACAAAGAACCCCTCTCGTGGGGTTGCCGAGTTGGGTATGGGCCTAAAACCGACCCCATAGAAGTTGCTTGAGTCTTGCTTTATCCATCTATTTGTACACTCGAAACAAAAACAAAATTCCACCGGAATTTTGCTTGCCGATGGCCGTTGGGAGAGGAAGAAACAGAATGCTAAAGGCCCATATGTAAATATAAATCGGAACTCGTACCCATAGCCGTTCAAGGAAGGCTTGGGCTGATTTCTACTTTGGTCCTTAAGTTGAGATATAGGTCCATAGAAGAAAACTTAACTCGAGGCTTGTCATCATGCCCATTATTGTGGGGCGGATTTTTTTTTTAATGATTTTAATGTATTGCATGTTAAAAAAAATAAAAAAATAATTTTAATATATTTTAATTAAATGAACAATACCTTTGAAAGATACATTGTATTATAATACAAAATACACTCGAACAAGTCATTCTAAAAGGCATAAATAAAGTGAAAAAAATAAAAAAATACGAGGGAAGACTTGACTAGTCGTAAATTTACTCATAACCCATATAGATTCATATCAAAACTCACTCCTATTTTGTAATTTTAGGCTTGTGACAAGTCAAGCTCACCTGATCAGACAAGTCAAGCTCACCTGATTAATAATCTTTCTCCGAACAAAGAAGAAGAGGGCGGTTTTGTTCATTGAAAATTCAATAATTCAACAAATCTAGGATAGGAGCCGAAGAACATGATATTTTGAATTCAGTCGTCGTCTTCTAGCTCCCTATCCGACTGTTGTTTTATTTAACTAAACCCTTGCATCACCTGATCTTGATTGAGAACTCAAGAAAAAATTAATGGATCCGTAGAAGACTTCGAACTCATTCCATCTCAATCAAATTCAAGCAACATGTAACCGTGTTGATAATTGATTGGTGGACTATACAACAATATAGAATTTATTCTTTTAAATTTTTTAATTAAGCCCTTGATTGTTCATACTCTAGCTGATAATGAGTATGTATTAATAAACTCTCCCCATCTCTCGCCATTGGTAGACCCTGCGACACCGTGACCTCGCAAATGGTCAGTGCGCTGGGTCAGATTCCCCAATCAGCCACAGGGAAGATAATATTATTATTGGATTTTGTTAATACAGCCAGACTAGCATTAACTTGACCACGCCATTAGTCGCATCAAAGCACATGACATTGCAAGGCTCTCTACCTGGTTTTCACACGTGGAATTAATTATCCATCTCCTCCTCTAGATAATTGATCTGGAGTCGGTTTCAATAAGCAAAAGTTGACCAGAAAACAACCCCAAGATTTTGAAAAAATCATGAGATTGCCTTGCATGCCAATATAATCTTGGGGTTTTTAGTTGATTCCTGCCTTGTTCTCTTCGAAGAAAAAGGATTTTGGTCCCTATGATATATATATATATATATATATATATATATATATATATATATATATATATATATATATATATATATATATATATATATATATCTTCAAGATGATCTATCGAGTTCAAGGAACCAGGCACCAAGACAAGTGGCCCAGCCGCCCAGGCAACCCGGCTGGCCTAACTCGAGTCCTTCAAGTGGAGAGACAGGATGTCAATACATGCGAAGTGCACGTCAGACGATGGACTACGTATTAATTGTCCACCCGCAAGCTTATCCAGAGAGGTTTTAATTTGTAATAAAACAAAGCCACCGAGCACAGATGCCGTGAGTTGGCTCCAAGGTATACTTGTCTGGTTAGAGCGTGTGCTCGTTCGACGCTGGCAGTACAGTGTCTTTGGGAAATTCCAATTTGCAATTTTTCATAAACATTTTCATCCTTAAGTGGGAGAGCAGTAGATTCTGTTTTTGGATGAATTTTATTTAAAATTGTGTTAAATTAATATTTTTTTATGATTATGATATACTAATATTAAAAAAGACAAAATATTATGATATATTTTTAAATAAAATTCGTTTTCAAAACACATGACTTTCTAATATGTTTATTTTAATGAATTTTCAGATCATTTTAGTGAATTGAATTAATTTTAATTTTTTTTTCTAGACAAGTAATCATGTTATTATTTTTTTATTTTTTTTAAAATCTAATGTTATTTTATAAAATAGCTTAATGATATATGATCATTATTATTTAAAAACAACCAATTAGGTCTGTTCGCATCTTCAACACCATTTATATGTAAACAATGTTGCCCTAGGAGAAGCTACAAACATGTAATCCAATCTTGCAAGTTAAGACAACATTTCAGAATCTCAACTACAAGTTAGGAGAGCTCAATCAATCACATTAGACATTTTTAATTTTAATCCACTTTAGGTGAAAAAATAAAGACATAAATATGCCACGTATTTAAGGAAACATTTACACGCGCTGTCTACAAGCGTGGAATTTTAAAACATAGGACTTTCCGTTTGCCCAATGCTGCACTGCTGCTCGCCACTGGATAAGAATCCACTTTGTTCACCTCAAAAATACGGGAGCAGCTGAATCATCTCACAAACTCAGCTGTACCAAACCAGCTCTAAGTTTTAACCACTCTTCGACTCCATATAAGTACCTAACACTATCTCAAATTCAGGGCCCTCTGTTTCCTTTTCTTGTTATCTTCATCTTTCGTGGCCCATTAATTTGGCACCCAAATTCTTGGCTGAAAGTTTCTATCTTGGATCAAAACCCTGGATTTAAGGGGATTTGTTTTCTTTCTTTCTTTCTTTTTTGATGGGTGCTAATTTATCTTGCGCTACTTTGTGTGATACAAATGGAGAGGGTCCTTCGAAACCAAGGCTTGGTGACATACCAGAGAGTTGCTTAGCATTAGTTCTAATGCACTTGGACCCACCTGATATCTGCAAATTGGCTCGTCTGAATCGGGCTTTTCGTGGTGCTTCTTCGGCTGATTTTATATGGGAATCAAAGTTGCCTTCAAATTATAAGTTTATATGTGAGAAAGTGTTAGATGAGAAGACTGTAGCGGGTTTGGAAAAGAAAGATGTTTATGCCATGATGTGCAGGCCTAATCCTTTTGATGGTGGCACAAAGGTATGTCTCTTTCTGTCTTTGGATTCCCGTGTATGTTTTGTTTAGGATAAGATTGGATGGTTTGGCCTTTTACAGGAGGTATGGCTGGATAAGAACACTGGTGGGGCTTGCTTTTCAATTTCTTCAAAGGGGTTGGCTATTACTGGGATTGATGATAGGAGATACTGGAATCACATTTCTACTGAAGAATCAAGGTGATATATATCTTTAGACAAATTTTCGTTTTTTCATTGGATTGTCAGATCCAATGGGACTCAGAGAAAATATTGTCTAAGGAAAACTTCTGAGAATCAAGCTATTTTTTGGTGGTTTGGCATGATGTCTTCTGTGCAATCAAATTTCAAATTCTTGGCTTTAATGTGGATTGTGTGTCTTTCCTATTTAAATGCTTTGATTAGTATGATAGCAAGTTTGTACATTTGAATAAACTCAGTTTCATTGCCACAAATTGCTATTTGCACTTATTAGAGATTGTTCATTCTATGCACTGATATATTTTAGTTTATTGAATTGAGTTGCCGTTATTGAATTTAGCCTGATACTATTTAATTTTTCATTCAACAACATACCAGCAACAGAGAATTCTGTTAATTTAGAACAATTTAAACTATGTATTTATTATCCTGCTTATGGTTGTCTTTATGTCTTTGGACTCTGAATGCTAGAAGGAACATTGGACTGATATATTGTTCATCTTTCTGGATTTAGATTCCACACAGTTGCATATCTTCAACAGATTTGGTGGTTTGAAATAGATGGAGAGTTCGAGTTTGAATTTCCAAAAGGGATTTATAGCCTATTCTTCAGACTCCAGCTTGGCAGGCCCTCAAAGAGAATGGGTCGTAGAGTTTGTAACTCTGAGCACATCCACGGCTGGGATATAAAACCTGTAAGATTCCAGCTAACAACTTCTGATGGTCAACGTGCAGCATCCAAATGCTATTTGGACAACCCTGGGAATTGGGTTTACTACCATGTTGGGGATTTTGTTGTTGATCGTCCAAGCGAGTTAATGAAGATCAATTTTTCAATGACTCAGATTGATTGCACTCACACAAAAGGAGGTCTCTGTGCTGACGCCGCCTTTGTATACCCCAGTAGCATAGGCGGTGAGATTTGTAAAATGAACAAGCTTGCTGGTCAGCATTGAAGAAGAAAATTTAGGTTGGTTTGTTGGGATTTGTAGAGTTTTCACCCAGGCATTGTATATATATTTGATCCTCGTAATCTTGCAGGGCTTGAATAGTCTTGTTTGTAGCATTTGTACATTATGGTTCTGCTAGTTTCCTGTATTGCGTGCCCAATTCGTAAATTTTCCTTGAACAAACAGAATTGCCTCCGCATGTTTTCTTTCTGGGTAAAGAAAATTTTCTTTCTTAGTGGAACTTGCATCCTGTTTTTAGAAAATCTAAAGTGCAACCAGTGACTGATTGGCTTCTAGGGAACTCCTGGTTTTATCTCTACAATGCATCTGGTGCTGGCAAATTTTTTCTTCCCTTGAGAATCATGCACTTGTTGAAGTGAAAACGAACGGCAATATCACCCAAGGTAAAATGCTCCTGAACAAACTGCAAATCATCAGCAATGAGCTTAGTGAGATCGTGCTGAATAGGATTAACAGCTAGATACATAGCAGAGATGTTATCGCAGACTGCCTCAATGGCCGGCAAGGACTAATGTGAAGATCTTGTAAAAGGGAACGAAGCCAACGAATCTCAGCAACAACAGCAGCTAAGGCACCATTTTCAGATTCTGCACTTCTACGAGAGACTGTATGTTGCTTTTTAGCAGTCCAGGTGATCAGATTATGGCCTAGAAACACGCAATAACCACAGGACAACCAGCCAATCGGCATTGTAACCAACCTCAGTATCGACAGAAGAAGAGGGCAAATGAAGACCATGATCAAAAGTACCTTCGATTCAGCGCAAAATGCGCTTCACAGCAAGCCAAAGAGAGTCATGTGGATCATGCATAAATTGGCAAAACAGTATTAACTGCAAAGGAAATGTCCAGGCCACCAACAATACTGCGACATGAAATGGCTTGGAAGAAGAATCGAAGCCTAGTTGAGGTGACTGAGTACGTGTATTAACAGGCTTGAACCCCACCATGGAGGCATGATTCAAGATATCAGTCACATATTGTTGTTGAGAAAGAAACAGACCATTCTTATGACGAGTGACATGGATAGCGAGAAAGTAATATAGAGAGCCAAGATCACTCCCAGCAAATTCACTTTTCAAGGTACTGATGATCTGTTGAAGAAGACGATTAGATGAAGCCATCAAAACAATACGAAGTCGTGAAAAAACTTAATATAAATTTCACGCACTGCGATTCTAGGCCAAGATATGTGGCTTTTATTATGGATATATACATATGGGCTTAGCTGGTGACGATAGGTTTGCCTTAGAAAACAAGTTTATAGTGAAATGAGATTCTCTCATGCTTAAATGAGTAAATGAGTACGTATATAAAAGAATTATATATATATATATATATATATATATTGAGTTTGAAAAAATTATAACCTTCTATATTTACTTGATAAGCTAAATTATTTATAAACCACCATCACACTTATATCGAAATATAAAGAGTTTCATAATCAATACAAATATTGATATGTTCATCATAGATGTAGTGTTTTTTCACTCTATTAGAGGAGAAGTAGGTGATTGTTGGTGATACATTAGCTATAAATAACTATTAGCTGAGAAATGAGGCGTCTAATTTGCATGCAAGTGGTTCGTGCTTGCATCGGCTAAGGTGACGCCAACCCTGCATAAAATTGTATATTTATAGAAAATATATCTGTTAATTTTAAAAAAAAATTTTATGCATAAACGATAAGGCCCCACCGCATTCTATATTCTCGAAACGCAGAAAAATACTTTGAGATATGTGTAGAAGCCGAAGATGTTTCTTCGTACCAGGTTGAAACTCAAGTGATTTTTCAAGTCAAAACGACTGGAAAAAATTGTCAGCCACAAACCACATGCATGCGCGCGCGGGTGAATTAAAATTGTGCAGTGCAGAGAAGCAGCTCCTGCTTCCGCTGTCTTTTATTTTAGTTCGTCTGGGCCGTGGCTCAAACTCACTTATTTTTATTTCATTCTATTTGAGCTATAGACTAAACAAACTGAATCACTCCATTTGGGCCGTGACCCAAATCAATTCCTTTTTTTCAAAAAAAAAAAAAACATTTGCACGCCATCAAATATCATCCATGTGAAGTAACAAAATGGCTCTCACTACCAGAGGAATAAACAAACGGAGTAATAAACTTTACTGCAAACAAATCCCTTGGAAGAGAGGATGTAAAACGATGAAACTAAACACAAGGGGCTTGTTTTAAGCCATATAACCGAAGCTGACACACATAACCAGGCACAAAACCGAGGGGTTGCTGCATTTACACAACCTGATCAAGGGAACCCATGCAAAAATGCCTTCCAGCATCTCACTAATGAATGAGCCACTGGTGCGAAAGAGCCACAAAAAGGACACTACGAATAGTGGCGTGGTTTCACCACTCACGACTGGACTAGAAGTTTCATGAAAATCAACTCCTACCGGTTGAGAAAATCCCTGTGCAACAAGATGAGCCTTCTACCATTCAATACTTCCATCCGCATGCCTTTTCAATGTATAAACACATTTAGATCCAATAATATTGACTGAAGTGGAAGGTGGAGGGACAAGTTCCCAGGTGTCATTAGCCAATGGAACATTATACTCACTAGTCATGGCATCTCGCCTACATTGAAGCTTAGCATCTTGAGCAAAAGTGGCAGGTTCACATTGGTTTCATGGGGTCGGAGAAGAAGCGGTATTGAGTAAAGAGAAAAGTTACTTTTCTTTTCATGTACCACCATCCTGTGACCTTGTAACCATCAGGGTTGTTACTTTTATTTCGTTTCTTCTTAAATGATAAAATATTTTATATTAATTTAAAAAATAGAACAAAACAAAATAATTTTTATTTTATTTTAAATTTTGGTCTGTTTTGTATTTTTTTGATAAGTTTTGACCGAAATATTTTGATTTTATTTTACATGTTTTGTTATGCATTTAAAAAGCCCTTGAATCAAATTCAACCCGGTTTAATTTGACTAATTAAAACATCCAAGTATAAATTATAAAAAGCTCCTTTTTTATTTTTATTTTTAATAACAACGATATTAATAATAATATCAAAAATAATTATTACTATTTTCATTAACAATGATATTAATTTTTTTTAAAAAATTTATCACTAATATATATAGTTTATATTCATGTTGTTTTTTTTTCATATTTATAGTTTGTAGGAATTTGAGCAAAATAAGAGATGTTTTAGATTCCATTAGCCTAAATAATATTGACTTATTGAATTAATGGATTTGTGAAAAACCTAGCCTTCTTGATGGAGATAATATAAGTTGGTAGATCATTGAAGCACCTTTATCAACTTTAACTTTAGAGAATGAAGAGATGTTTTGATGACGAGAATGAGCTAAGTAAAAATGATCAATTATTGAAATGTTTAGTTGGTGACTTTCCCTACATACCACCACAAGATCAAGATACTTATTTCGATTATAATGATGGAGATGATGTTTGATTTATATTTTTTTTTGTTAAAACATTTTATTTTCATAATATTTTGACATTTTGTTTTAGTTAAATTACTTTAAGCTAAAGTTCTATTTAATCTTGACTATTTAGGACTATTTTAAATTTTAAAATTATATTTGTTTGACATTGTATTTGTATTGCATAATTTATAATTAATTTATCTTGAATTTGAATTATATTTTTTGAATTCAATACACACACACATGAACAGTACAACTCCGAAACACTTCAAAACTAAAGTATTCCATTTCAATTGAAAAAACAAAACACTTATTGAAACAAAATTGACAACCTTCATAACCACAAGATGAGTTTTTTGCAGTACTATAATAGAGATGGTATTAAAAGATGAATGGAGGAATGAGAGGCGAGATGGTAGGAGCAGTGTGTTTAACACATTATTTAAATAAATTAATAAAAAATATATTAAAAAACAAAATATCAACAAAATCATGTGAGGTTGTCAAAATCCACAAACATAACCTAGTAAACGATCATTATTTGATAGGTAACTTGTGAATGTTGTGGAACTATTATTTTTTTTTATCATAAAAAAAATGTCGAGATGATATATATTTTTTTAAAAAAGAAAATATAAAAAAGAATAAAAATCAAATCCAAACAAATATAAAATAGAGTACACAACTAAATTTTTAAAGGCCTGACACCAAAACCAAAGCTAAGAAGAGAAAAATGAAAAGCAAGAAAAAAATTCACCGAACTGCCACCTGCCTTGGGAAACAGGCCACCCTAATAGTTATGCCAAATCCTAACAAATTAGATAAGATAACATCGTTTTTGTTAAATCTACAATGATTCTCTTTACTATAATAAAATTTTGAGTCCTTTTAGATTTTTGTTTTAATTTAAATTGTTGAAGATTCCATCCCAAAAGTTTGAATTTTTTTTTCATTTTAGTCCTAAAGTTTCATTGTTTTTGTTTTTTAAATATACTCTTCAATTAAAGATTTAATTTATAGAATAATAGATAATTATCTTGAGACAATATGCATTTTTCCCTTTCTGAAAATTACCCATTAATCTACAACAATCACATGTCTATCTTATTTGTAAAATATCAATTTTGTTAATTACATGTTGACTTTATTTTATTTTTATTTTTTATATAATCATAAATGTTCAAACCAACTAATAAATAAATTTAAAATTTAACCAATTAAATTACAACATCTCAAAGTTACATGTTGACTTTATTGATTCTTGGTTCGTTACACATCATGCATGGTTTACATAGCTAAATACTCGATCTTAAATACTTTATTACACTGTCAATCTTGGAGGTGAGTGAGAAAGAGAACATTCCAGTTTCTTGAAGAAGATGGTAAGTATTTCAGAAGTTGGGGGAGGGGGTGGTAAGAAATTGGGAAGGAAGGCAGGCAGGCAAAGATGATAGGGTTCTGGCCAGTGGAAAATGCTTTTCACTAAAAAGTAAAACAGAAAACGCGTTTGGAGTGGAAAAAAGAACCCAATCCCTTCAACCTCTTCACGGCCAAGGAAGTGAGTAGTGTCAATTTTCTAACAATCAGTGGCCCACACCATTACTTTCGTCTTGTGGAAACACCATTGACTCTTTTGGTCAATACAGAATCGCCATGCCAATATATACAAGGCGCAGGCTGACACTCACTCACTTACTCACTCACCTCTAGTAGTTGTAGCAGCCATCAACCTCCTTTCTCTAACCAGAGCAGACACTTGTCCTCTTAGACCATCCACCAGTCCTTCTCCCCCTTTTGGTTTCCGTTTTAGGAAGAGGAATGGACGACTATTCCCCATCAGGTTAGTCACACAAATTTTACCCTTTCAACTCCACAACTCATTTTTGTTTTTTGTTTTTGTTTATCGACTATTTCCCATCAGGTTAGTCACTCAAGTTTTACCCTTTCAACCCCACAACTCGTTTTTGTTTTTGTTTATTGTTCTAATCCTTTTTCGTTTTCGTTTTCGTTTTGTTTTGTTTTGTTAGTCCTGGCATTCGTATTGCTATTGATGGAACATGGATTCAAATTTAAGCCAACCAATGAAGAATTAATAAGGAAGTATCTGGTGCCGAAAATCCGTGGTGATATCATGGAAGGCTTGCCCATGGCAGTCGTTAACCTTTGCGAGCATGAGCCATGGGATCTACCTGGTAATAACAATATTATCACTAGCTAGTGCTAGCGTTATCTTTTTCTTTGTTTTCTTTCATCTTATTATACCAGTCAGAATATTTTTATTAACGCAGTTTCTTTTATCTATTTCTCTTTGCAGATAAATCCATTATAAAGTTAGCTGGTCAAGTAACGTGGTATTTCTTATGCCCTCGTGATCTTAGGGGCAAAGTTCACCGCAGAAAAACCAAGGCCGGATACTGGAAACTGACCTGCCAGCAAAAGTCAATAACAGCTGAGGGTACTAAGAAAAAGATTGGGGTAATGAGGACTTTGAGATTCTATGAAAACGAAGTGAGGACTGGTTGGATGATATACGAATTAGACCTCATCGCCAATTCTAGCCAGTTTAAAAAGGTACTAATTGAATGCCATGGATACATGATGCAACACTGGGTTTGATGTATGAGTTGGGGAATTTTAATTCATTTTTTGTTGTTTTGATATGTGCAGGGACAATATGTTCTCTGTAAACTGGAGTTTAATTCAAAAGGAAAGAAGAGCGAGAAAGGTGAACAAAGTCACCATATAGCTCCGGTCTCCCATTCTGAATTCTATCCAAGTCAGAGTATGGATTCTGATTCTGAAAATATAAATCCAAGTGAGATGGCTGTGAGATCTTCACCTTGTGATGAAGGTGAATTAAGCCATCATGTGGGTTCGCTTTTTGGAAATCAAAATTTAAGTGTGCTGATGAATAACTTAGCTCGCCAACGAAGTGAGTTAAGCCCCCATATGGCTTCTGAGTTTAGAAACCATAACTCAAATAACCTCATGCCTAATTTAGTTTATGATGGAAGTGATTCAAGCCACTCCACGGTTTTTAATTGTGAAGATCTATACGGGAATCAGCCTACAGTTGATTCAGCTTATAATGGAAGCGAAAGCCCTTACATGGCTTTCGATTCTGAAAATCAAAACTCAAATGTGCTGTTTACAGTTGATTCAGCTTATAATGTCAGCAAAAACCATGGCATGGCTTTTGATTTGCAAAATCAAAACCTGAATGTGGTGCTGGCAGTTGATTCAGCTTCTAATGTTGTCAGTAAAAGTCATCATATGACTTTCGATTTGGCAAATCATAACCCGAATTTGTCGCTGACAGTTGATAATTCAGCTTCTAATGTTAATGAAAGTCATTATATGGCTTTAGTTTTGGAAAATCAAAATCTAAACAATAGCATTTCTATATTAACTTCTGAGAATTCTTTAATGGCTTCTCGTGGTTTGGAAAATCAAGAACCATTCTTTCCACCTTGTAGTTTTATAAACCAGTCAACGTATGATAAGAGTGAATCAAGTAGCCTAATGGATTTTGATTTTGAAAATCAAAATCTAGTAAAGGAATTCGATATATCAGCCTTCGGTGAAGGTGTATGGAGTAATACCACAGCAACTCCTCCGGATTTTGGAAATCAAAATCCTTGTAAGAAGACTGATATGTCAACCTTTGAAGAAGATTATTCGAGTTACTTTAAGTCCTCTTCAGATAATAATCTAGCTGATGTGGCGCTTCCAGAGGTAAGAACTAAATACCATGCATTACAGAATCTTTTTAATTTTTGTTCTGGGGTTCGAGTAGCAAACCCAAAGCTTATTCTTACTTCACATGATACTTCCAGCAGGTAAGGTCTGGAATACAAGCAGGGATAGAAGGGTGTTTCGAGCAAGAAAACAGCCCCAACCCTGCACTCGTCCAGCTTCCTTCTGTGGGGTTCGAGTAGCAAACCCAAAGCTTGTTCCTACTTTTCATGGGCTTTAGTACCTTGGTACCTAATTGAAAAGATATGTTATCTGGTTCCTATCTGCTATTTAACAACAAAACTATCCATACGAAATAATCGATGGAGTTTATTATAAATGGTTTAAGAGGGCAGCTACTGATGCTCCTCCAATCTGATAATGAGGGTAACTTTTGTCGCCCTAGTTATTTGGATCATTGCACGGTTGCTGATCTGCAAATTTTACTTACTTTATGGTGGACGCTGCTTAGTTCGACTTCGTCCAGTCCATGCAGCTTTAAGCTGCAATCCTCTAAAATATAGCCTGCGCTGTCCCAAATCTGCAGCTGTATTCGTAGAAAGATTTGGGTACTAGTAGCGGAAAACACGAGTTGTTCTCTGCGATCCTGATGCAAATGCTATCCGTCAAGTACTAAGATATTAAATGGGAAGTACTATTCAAGCCGTACGCACGTATGTATAGTTGCTTATTGTTGTATTGTATGAAGGTGGGATTGTGTCAAGAGCAAACAGCTCTTATAGACTATGTATCTACGTGTCAGTGTGCTTCAAAGATGTTGAACAAAAGTACTTATGCTTAATTAATATGTTCAACTTCAAGTTCTCTGTTCTTAGCTTTGTTAATTGTTGGGTTGCCATTGCAGTGCATATCTGCAGTAGAATGAGGTGATAACGTTACTGAAAGTTTAGAATTACATGAGATCTGTATTATATTTGAGGTACTTGCAAGAGTAATGATTTTTAAAAAAAATGTTTTTTCAGTAAAAGTTATATAAAAATATTTTTTTTTTAAAAAAAACTATTTTTAACATGATCATCTCAAAACAATTTAAAAATATAAAAAGAATTAATTTAAAATAATAATTATAAAACCCCTTTTAATGAAATGTAATTTCAATAACACTGGATATTCCACTGGCATTCTTGCCACTTGTCAAAACTGCATCATCTCAGAAGTTAGTGGCAGTGTAAGCTTTGCCTGTATCAAGCTTTGTGGCTTGTCATCAATCTTTAAACAAGATTAGTTTCGTATATTATCGGAATCCAGTATCAAGCATGACATCCAGGGCAAGAGAACTTAAGCTAAGCATGGGGAATATCCAACTCTTGAGAACAAGTGATCGCAGGAAAGTGATTGCAGCAATGTAAGCATTTAGCAGAATAACCAGGGAAGGGGGGATGGAGTTCTGCTGTGTCACTTTAAACAATCAAATCAAAATCCGGACAGGTCAAATAAACCATCAATGGACATAATTTTGTTGAGTGTTCACGAATTTTGACCCCATTCTACAAATTAAAAGTTTTCTTTTAGTATACCAGCTGGTTATATACTTGATGACATGGTAAAGTTAGCAATCCTGTAGTTTCTGCAATATATATTGGGAAGATTATTCTAGAGAATTCTGGAGGGGTAAGCGAGTACTCAATCAAGAGCAAGCACGATAATTAACTTGTCAAGAAAGTTATTTTTCGGGTGTTAATGAAAGGAAAATAATCTTGTTCCCTGTCGTAGATTCCTTGATGTAATCGTGACTCCCATTTGATATGAAAAGAGAGTGCTATAATTAAATAATATTTTTTGGGTATTAATGAAAGGAAAAGTGTGTAAAAGGAGCTGCTAGCTAATTCTTGCTTCCTCCATAATTGTTAATCATGCTTCAGACCTCAATCTAGACAGCTAGTTGAATCCTCTTATCCTGTCTTAAAACACATAGCATCTAAGAAGAAAGCAAAACCCAAAAAGTTGCATGCTGACTATAAAAACAGACCACTGAAACTGAAGGGAAACAGGTGGATAATGCTGTTGTACAATTTGACTTTCATGTCCATTCTTGAATGTTCGAGAATTTTCTGATAAAGTAGTTTAATTAGCTTGAACTGTAAGTTGTGGGATATGCTCAAACCTCTCCCTTGACCGTAGCTTGGGGAAGTGAGTCTCTCTTTTCTGGTAATTATTTATTTTATTTTATTCTTGCTAATCTAATTGGCTAATGGATGGCACATCACACTGTACGGACATTAAATGACGCGGTTTAGAGGAGGTCGGTCCCACTTAGCCAATTTTCTTATACGATCGGTCAGCAAGTATAACTTATACGAGGATGCTTGAGTGACTGGGCTGCAGAAGCACATGATTGCCTACAAATACACCCAGAAACTCACCACACCTGCTTGCAATGGATATCAAATAATTTTTTATTGTTTCATTAATTTATGTACAATTTCATCACGTACGAAATCTATCCAACAAGAACTATATTTTCCATGGTTTCTTAAGCGCGTAACAACATTAGGTAAAATATCATCCAGAATAAAATTGAGATTACGATCAAATTCTGCAAATGCTACTTTATCAAATGATCTCCTTTTAATTTTTTGAATAAAACATAATTAAAAATAAAAATAAAAATTGAATTTTTTAACTGGATCAAAACGGGTAAGAACAAAATTGGAATTGCGATCAAATTCTGCAAATGTTATATCATCAAGCGATCTCCTTTTAATTTTTCAAATAAAATACAATTAAAAAATAAAAATTATTTTTTTTACTGGGTCAGACCCAGTTCAATACATTACTTTGGATCAGACCCGATCCGACCGGAAACACTCCATTGTTCACGTAAGTGAACAGTGGAGAGTTGCACCTCAGTGAAGAGTGTAACTCTTTACTTTAGAAAAACGCAATAAGAAGCATGAAAAAATTGCTTGCGCAAAACCGCAGGTGAAACATTAAATTTTCATGGGTCTCATGGCTAAAACATACCTATTGAAGATACTCAAACATTACGGTATTGAGTTTGACAAAAAACACAGAAGCTAACGCAGAGCCAAACACTCTCGAAGTATAACTTATGTTAAGATGCTTGCATGACTGGGTTGCAGAAGCACTTGATTGCCTACAAATACATCCAGAAACGCACCGCGTGTTTGTCATGATCCGAATCTTGGTTTATGTTAGGCACCATCGGAGCAATATTAGAAAGGCACTTTGTGTATATTAAATTTGTAGTATGGTCATAAAAGCTTGATTGAATTCAAGATTTTTTTTTTAATTTTTCTATAATATACTAAAAAAAAGGGAATTTAAATGACAAATTAAAAAAAATAATTCTGAAAATAATAAATCGATATGTCGTTAACTCAGTTCAAGAATCAACATATTTATTTTTATAAATCTGTTGATCATCGAAGTAAAACAAATATTCTTTCATGTCAAGTTTATTAATTCGATATCCCTTAAAGTTGAGAAAAATCGATAAGATTACGAATAAATTAATTAGAAAAAACTCTCTAATCAATTTCTAACCATCAAACAAATTTCACATTGAAAGCAATTCGCATTCACTTTATCGTTATACGATGTCGGACGACGGCTCCACTCTTTTTTTTTTTTAACAAAAAGAATAAGTTTTTTTTCTTGATTGGGGGGAATAAAGATTTTTATTGGAGTCACCATCTAGTAATTTGAGGGAATTAGAAATCTAAAATTCAACACTGGTCCCAGAGATTCAGGTACTGGGTTAGTTATGATTAAGGGAAGTTAGACACCACTTTTAAAACATCCTTTCAGAGACAGGTTACCCTTACTTGTGTGTTTTTTATTTGATTCAAATGCTATTATATTTTGAGCTTATTTGCAAAAAATTTAAGATGGTTCACGTCGGTTCTGAAAAATAAAAGACATGTTAAAAATGATATCAGTCCCTAAAATAACATTCGAGAAAATCGTAGTGAATCCAAAATTGGGTTACAAAACACTTGACAGTAGTCTTAGGAGTAAAGTTTATTCATTTATTTTAAGCACGCATTAAAAAACTTGACAATTTAACTTAGTTTTTTTTTTCTAATAAATCAAGATGAGAGTTGCAACAATCTAATTAATTCTTTTGCTTCTTATTCCTCTCGAACAACAATTATGGATGGAAATAAACTAGAAAGCATGCATATCTTCTCAAATAATTCAGTAAGCTTGAATAACAATCAATAACATAATTTTGAACGAGGAAAAAATAAATACTTGAATTTGAAAAAATTACAATGAGAACTTTACTTCTCACAACTTGCTAATAGACATGATGTATGAATTTGAATCAAAATTAGAAATTAGTTTATAGTTGCTAGAAAATTGACAAAAATAAAAAAGAAAATAATGTTGCAGAGCCTTTGTTTTAGCTATGTTTTGCTCTATTTATTCTCTTTCTTGGTTGACAAATTTTTTCAAATTTCCTTAGCTAATTATAAGTCTTTATACTACTTAACTCCTTCCTTATTTATATGGTCCTTAAAGTTGGTTAAATCCCTTAGAATTTGTATTGAAAACAGACTTTATTGTCATCATAAATCTATTGTAATTCCAACTCTGTTGCAACTTAAACTTTGTTTATGACTTAGTTTCTTGCAATATTCGATCATCCCAATTATATTTTTTTCATTCATGACATGTTAAAGGCATGATATGTATGTATCCTTTTTAGGTCCTAAAATCTACTATTTCTATGTCAGACTCTTAGTCCTTCAAATTGCGTTTGTATTTTCACCTTCAAAATGATTTTATCTAACCTAATATGCTTCATAAAAGTTGTAGTTCTAGATATATAGATGATTTTCGGCTTTTGAATCCTATGTTTTCAATGTTCAAAGACTTAAGGTATGCCCATTTGAATATATGTTAAAATAGAGGATTTGGCTATAAGGAGGATTTCAACTTAATTTTGCAGATTTGATTAAAAGTCTAAACAAACTTAAATTTTTACTCATAATACTTTCCTGGAAAACTTAATAAGTGTAATTTAACCTTAATTTAACCCACGTTTACATTCTGAAATTAAAACTTAGTGAAAAACTTGTCATAAAAAGTAAGGCTTGAAACATAAAATGCAGAAAATCTTATTTTTTAGTAATTAATTTACAAAGTCTCGTAAGTATGTTAAACTCATAAAAAATTACTTCCAACAAGCTTGTATAGGCTCAAAATATATTAAAAACATAGTGTAAAAGGAATAAAAACATATGCATATTTTACACTTATAAAAAATATAGAAGTAAAAAAAATATTAGATAAAAGAATCAAAAATTTCGTTGAGCATCGTTAAAAGTACCTATAATAAATATACAAAATATACTAAAAAATACTCAAAACAACACAAATAAAAAACTACAATGTATAAAGGAAAACTAGGTTTAATCTTTAAGTGCAGGGACTATAATGATAATTTTTAGATATCAGAGACCATAACATAATTTTACTAGAATTGGATGACCAAATTATAAGATTCAAAAATACATAACCATAATAAAATTTCATCTATAATTCATCCTAATTTCTGGCTAGAATCTCAATTTACATTTTAGGGACCAATTTGTAATTTTACAAAGTTCAAGGACTAAACTAAAAACTACACAAATCAATTATCAAACCAGAATCCATCATCCTTAGCCTCATTAAAATACTACCTAGAATTTCAAAATACATTTTAGGGGTCAAATTATAATTTTTTAAAGTTTAAAGACCAAAATAAAATTTCATCACCTTCAACTTTAAGACTATTATGTCCAGATTTTACAGCAAAGTTAAAACAAATTTCTTAACCCATAACAAACAAATATACAAATTTTTATTTCTAACAACACACCCAAAATCAATCATTTAACCTTAAACCATAAGAATCACGAATCAATCTTAATATTCTTACTAGCTCGTGTTATTTGGGCTAAGCGTAAATGATGATTTTCCTAGCCTAACTTGACTAGTTTTTTTTTTATTTACAATATATATATATATATTTTTTCTAGTTTTGAATTTCAAGGAGTGAAAATACAATATTACATTGATTATGCATAAATTTTTTATATATTCTTACTAACAAACTCTTTGCAAATATAATTTTTTAAGGAGGTTAGGTGCCATATTTTTTTACCAATGAATACAGTGTGAACATGTCTCTGTTTTATACAAATCAAGCTCCTTCTTTTCACATAATGATTATTTTTTACTAACATATCACTAATATTTATTAATCATTTACTAGTATCAATATCAAACATTACAACTAATGGTGGATACTGGTATTTTCATAAATTAATTGTAACATCACTCTCTATGTTTAAGGTTTACTGACAAAAACATAATTTATAAATACCTTGAATTATAGGTAAATGATCTACATTTATAATGACTATACATTGCCATATATATACATCCATAATACTCTTATGAGTTATGGGATTTTGCTTGATATTTTTGAGTTTTATAAATTCTCATAAAAATAACCTCACTGAATGTAGGGCAAAGACAAGCTTTGATATATTAAGCGTTAGGAGCAAACCATATTTGATTGCAATTCAAGAGGCCATAGATACACCCAGGGGTGGAATCAAGGAAAGGCAAGCACGACCCAAATCCCTGCAAAGAAAACATATGATGACTGATTTTGTAGGTTAGTTTTTTATTGTTTAGTGATTAAATGTGAGAAGATGTAATATTTAAATAAGTAGGCCCTTCTAATACTAAATATATATTTGTTATTCTTTGACTTTAAAACTATCTATGTGTAAAGAAAAACTATGAAGTTATAAATAACTTTTTCAACTGAATAGATTTTGTCATTTTCTCTCATTGCAGCCCCAATATATAAGGTAAAATATAGAAACAAGAATATAAATCGCAAAAAACACCACTAATTAATTCTTCTTTCATCAAATAAATCAAACAAATCAAGGTAATTAAGCATTGCTAACCTCAAATTTAAAATTTATTTTTGTTTTGTTTTGGGATGTTTGTTAAGACTTTAATAATATTTTTTTTTATAATTCTATTATTTTTGCTTTTTTTTT